CAAGATCTGTAGAAATCAAGTCCCAAATTGTCCACTTACTTATAGATATGACAGGTTTTGTGTACTCTATTAGTCATGACAAATCAGGGAAAACATAAGACATTTGTCTTTTGGAGAGAAGGGTTTATTTCACTTAGCAGAAGATCTCCTATTGTTTCCATTTTGTTCCAAAAGACAAAACCTTGTTTCAATGGGTGAGTAGTATTCCATGATGCATAAATACCTCAAGTTATTTATGTAATCAGCAATTGAAGGACATCTTGGTAGATATTATTTCTCAGCTGCTAAGTTAAGCTGCTATAACCAAGGAAGTAAAAATAATTCTTTGACATGCTAAATTCATTTCCTTTGAGTTAACTCACAAAAGCAGAAAGGGAGGATTTTTTCATACTGTCTTCCTTAATGATATAACTGTGTGATCAAATGTCCTTTAGAAATTACTGGTGTAATAACCTGATCTGTTTATTGATCTTTTTTCAGTTTGGTCTGCCAGTAGATGAAATGTGATGTTGAGTCATCCATTATTGCTGTGTTTTCGTTTATATTGCCTTTATGTATGTTTAAACTTGTTTCAAATAGCTAAATACCTTAGCAGTGGGAACATATATATTTAGTATAGTCACATTTCCTCTTGATTTATTACTTATCCCTAAATAACTTTCTTCTTTACCTATATAAAGTATAGTATTTGTGTTAAAATCTATGATATTGAGTATTAGGATGGCTTCTGTTGCTTATACTGTGCTTTCTGTCAGTATAAAATGTCTTTTTCTACATATTCAAATTCATTTTGAGTGCATCTTCTGGATATATTCCCAGGAGAATTGCTGGGTGATATGGTAGGTGAATTTTCAGTTGCCTGAATATTCTCCATAAGGACATCCAAAGTAGGAGCCCCAGTCTACACTTCCACTAGCAGTAGAGTAAGGTACATTTTCCACCACATCCTCACCAGCAGATAATGTTGGTAGGTTTTTATATGTGTGCCATTCTTGCTAGGGTTTATGGAACTTCTATTTACCTAATCTTCAAAGAGAAAACATAAAACAAGAAGCAAATGGTCTCTTCAACAAATGCTGTTGGGACAATTGGATAGCAGCCTGCAGAAGTAACAAACAAGGCACTCACCGTTCACCATACACACAAGATTAAATCTAATTAGATAATGGATATAAACTTACACCAGAAATCATCAAACTATTAGAAGGAAATGTATTAAATCCTCTACAATCTATAGGCATAGGCAAAGGCTTGTCAGAAAAATCATCAAAAGCAAAGGCAGTCAAGACCAAAATAAGCAACATGAGACACAAAGAAAATGAAACAATCAACAAATGAAGAAGTAACCACAGTGTGAGAAAATCATTTCAAACTGCACAACAGATACGGGGTAATATTCAGAATATTAAACAAAAAAGCTCAGAAACACAATCACAAAATAAAGCAGTTAAGAAATAGGTGGAGAAAATGTCAGATATTTTCAAGGAAATAAATCTAAATAATTAATACTGACAAAGGAAAAAAATACTCAAGTTCCCTAGCAATGAAGGAAATTCAAATCAGGTTTCATCTATGAACTAAACCTCAGTGGCTAAAGAAGTCATCTTCATCAGGGGATATTCAGAAGGCTGTGAAGGACGTGGCCAGAGAGCTTGGTCAGACATGTCAAATTGGAGAAAGTGCCTATAGTGATACACAAGTTAGTCGTAGATGCTTTCTAATGCAAGCAGGAAGAAGTGTGTGATCATTCAACCTTCATGATCAGATACAATGCCCCCATGCCAAGATAAACCAAATGCTCACAGTAATCTCACAGTGACATTGTGTGCATGTTAATAGAATCATGAAATGTTTGTGATGTCATAGGGAATTTAGGAATCTGAACTTTTTAAAAAATATATTTTATTATTTTTATTGAAAGGCGGACATACAGAGAGGAGAGACAGAGAGGAAGATCTTCCATCCCATGATTCACTCCCCAAGTGAGCGCAAAGGCCAATTACACTGATCCTAAGCCAGGAGACTCTTCTGGGTATCCCACGTGGGTGCAGGGTCCCAAAGCCTTGGGCCGTCCTCAACTGCTTTCCTGGGCCGCAGGCAGGGAGCTGGAAGGGAAGTGGGGCGGCTGCTGGGATAGAACTGGCGCCCATATGGGATCCTGGGCATGCAAGGCGAGGACCTTAACCACTGCGCCACTGCGCCGGGCCCAGGAATCTGAACTTTTAAGGAATGACCCAGACATTATACAATCCAGACCGTTTCTCTTTCTGAAAATCATATTTCAGCTCTGGGACAGGCTATTGTATACCATAGATTTTTCAGATCAGCATATTTTGATACAGAATCTAGGTTGTGAGTGCATACATATACAGAGGTAATTCATTGTGTTACTGTATACAATGGGTGATTATGACAACAGATGAGTGCGTCTCAAATTTCTTTAAGGCCTCCAACACATCAGACATGTTGTTTCTGTGACATAGAAAACATAAGGATGGGATTAATAACAAATAGTTTTAAAACCAATCAGGTTTATAGATAAATCTAATTTAGATACTAAATATTCTGAACACATAAGAAACATGGCAAATGAGAAATATTTTATATATATATATATATAATAACAAAGGTGAACACATTGCTATCATCTTTGCATTTTGCAAATATTTTAATTGACAAACAGCAATTGTGGATATTGGTACAGTGAGATGTGACCTTTTGATTCATGTATTCTTTTTTTTTTAAGATTTGTTTATTTTTATTTCAAAGTCAGATATACAGAGAGGAAGAGAGACAGAGATGAAGATCTTCCATTCGATGATTCACTCCCCAAGTGAGTGCAACAGCCGGTGCTGTGCCAATCCAGAGCCAGGAGCCAGGAACTTCCTCCAGGTCTCCCACACAGGTGAAGGATCCCAAAGCATTGGGCCTTCCTTGACTGCTTTTGCAGGCCACAAGCAGGGAGCTGGATGGGAAGTGGGGTAACTTGGATTAAAACAGGCACCCACATGGGATCTTGGTGCATTCAAGGCGAGGACTTTAGCCACTAGGCCATGCCACCGGGCCCGACTCATGTATTCTTTATAGAGTAATTCAATCAAGTTACTTACCGTCTTCTTCATTACCTGATTAATAAATCATTGTGAAATATATTTTTCTTAAAATATATGCATGCATACATGTATGTATTTATAAATGCACATATTTATTTTTGAATCAGAGAAAGATGTAGAACATCACTCCACTTGTTCACTTCCTAAAAGACTATAATGGCTGGGACTGAAGCTGTATAAAGCTGATGCAGAAACTAATCCAGGTGATGTTCATGCTCCATTCCCCAAGTGTCCGCAATGACCAGAGTTGAATTGATCTGAAGGCAAGAGCTAGGAGATTCATCCAGCTCTCCCACATGGGTGCAGGGCTTTGGGCCTTCCACAACTGCTTTACCAGACCACAAAGAGAGAGCTGGATGGGAATCAGGCTGCTGAGATTTGAATCAGCATACATATGAGATACTGTTGCATGCAAGGTGAGGACTTCAGCTGTTGGGCTACAATGCAGGGTGAAATAAATTCATTTTAAATAGGCTATTGATTTTAAGCAAAGTTAGGGCAAATATATTCAATTCAATGGAAGCTAAAATACACTAGAAATTATATTCTTACAAAGAAATTGAAGAGAGTATTATAATAATTTATATTGTGTAAGTTTCCAAAATTGACCACAAGTCACAAATCTATTAATTCAGAAGTTTACAGTGTCAGTAAGTGAATTTTTGAAAAGAAAATTACTTATTTCTATTGGAAAGTCAGATAATCAAAAAGAAGAAAAAAACAGGAAGATCTTCTGTCCACTGATTCTCTCCCCAGTTGGAAGCAGCAGCCTGAGCTGAGCTTATCTGTAGCCAGGAGTCAGGAGCCAGGTGATTCTTCTGGGTCTCTCACATGGGTGTGGGGGCCCAGGGCTTTGGGCAATCCTGAATTGCTTGTCCAGGCCAGAAGAGGGAAGCTGAATGGGAAGTGGGGCTGCAAGGTGAGAACTACAGCTGTGATGGGCACAATAAGTGAAAATTTAAGAAAGATACATAAATAATGTTTCAAATTTGTACCACAAAGGAGGAACAAGACTTTGTGAGAAAGACATAAGATTCTAAAACATTCCCAGATATCATACAATGCCAAAGTAGACAAAAAAGTACTGTATGGCAGGAAAAGTATAGTTAAAGCTGGAATTGGAGACTTACTAAGCATTCAATAAGCAAAAGTGAATTTATATTTCTTTAGAAGTAATGTGAATTAAGGTTTAGATGCTATAAAGAGCTTCTTATGAGCACACTCTGAAATGGTTTCCATTACAGAGATAGGAAAGTAAGAGGAAGAAAATGCAATACACGGAGAACTTTGAAATAAGACAAAGTAAAAATAAAAGGGATACTTCTAAAATTATCCATATTTCTATCACATTGAAAAAAAAATAACCAAACATTGCCCAGATAACTGAAAGCCATGGGCGTCTTTCAGGTGGGGTGGGCAATGTGAAAACCCTCATGGGTTTCCTATGACTTTAGCTTCGTTAAAGCTCAGCACGCTTAAAGCTGTGATTTGAGTATATCTGAATGGATATTTTTTTCTTTTAGTATTTTCTAAAATGTTTTAGATGTTAGTTAAGATAGGAGATTGGATGATATTTAGATTATCAGAGGATAGGAGATGGCCCGTGTTTCCTTTTTTTGGGTCTCCGTTTTCTTTTCTGATGAATTATTTTGGTTTTAAGAATCCTGTTGCTCACAGATCTAATTCATTCACACTGTATTTGGTTATGGACATTGTGACTTTAATTTAGATGGAGACAAAACAAACAAACAAACAGACTGATGGCTTATTTCAGAGACATCCATTGTAAGAAGATGAGGTAAATAAATTCATTTAAGGATATTCAAAAAAAAAAGAAAACCCTGGATTTTTTAATATTTCACAAATGATACATTTTATCTTTCTGACTTACTTCATCAACTCTTTAACTGTTTGGCACATACAGAGCACTTTTTTCAAAATACCAACTATTCTTTTATCAGAACTAATAAACACCAAAGGACTGACAGTGGCATAAATATTTCCCACCATTCTCTGGATATCCAGGACAACTGGCTCATATTTCCACAGTATGAATGAGAAGGATGAGATGATGATATCCACACAGTACATAATCACAAAGAAACTCACCAGCACTAGGACAGTACAGGTGGCCTGTTTTGCTGGGGAGATTCTTGGGGAAATGCTCATGCTGTGAAGGTACTCAGACTTCCTCTGATGGCTACATAAGAAAATCACCATGTACATGCTGGAGAGCAGCATGATTCCTACAAAGAAGATGTTCTGGGACAGCATAAGCACGAGAAATAGTGCCCTGACGGTGGAATTTACAGAGATGAGTGAGCAGTACTTACTGACACTGAATAAATTGGTCCTGTTGGAATGAGCTACAGTGTAGATGATCATGTTGCTATTGGAACACAGGCTGAAGCAACAAATACAGAAGAAAGCAATGGCAACATGTTTTGTGAGTTTATGTTTAAATCTTGACAAGAAGAAGGAGCTGGGACTGATGGTAATGACCTGAACAATGCTTAGCAGACAGGTGGTGGAGATGGAGAGACCCCTAGACACTCTACTCATGTAAAGCAAAACTTTACATTTTAATTCATTTGGAAACCCCAGGGATTTGGACATGTCTGCCAATGAAATATCTAGAGTGGTAAGTAGCATCACTATATGGACAAAAGCCAGTTGACAAGTGATCATGTCTGTTGGTCTAGGTCTAGGAAATTGATGTATTGCAATGATGTGGAAGACAAGGAGGGAGGTATTGGCTAAGATGCCAATGCCAGCTTGGAAAAAATACACATTTTTCAGTGATAACATTACTGGATATTTTGTTCATCTCAGCATATTTGAAAATATTTCAGATACCTATGAAACAAAACAAAGACCGCATGTCACCATAAATCTTTCTGTTTATGTGAAAATCCTGCAAAAAGCATCCTTTCTGTTTTACTCACTACTTTAATAACTGCTCCAAGTTCCCTGTTTAAGAACATTGAGTAGAAGTTAAATGAATTTTTAATCATTATGCAATATCACCAAAGCATACTGAGTCAGTTCAGGTGTGTTGTATCTAATTAGAGCAAATTGAAATCAATGAAGAATTTAAATTAAAAATATTAGCAATAAATGATACTATATGTAATTGCAGTTCAAGTCAGCAAATAAATGCAACTATTTTCATGCAAACCTATTTACTCATATACTTCTATAATTTATGCAATTACTAAATTCAATAATCTTACATTTATAACATAAGGGGGGATTTTCTTAACGTCACTCAGAAAAATAAAGCAATCCATCCCAGAAGCCACAGAGAAAGACACTCACCCAGCTAAGCTCTGATGTGAATCCATAGTGAACCAAATCTTCACGATCTGTTTATGGTGAGGGGATGGTACCAGCTCATTTCCCTGCAGGCTGGTTATTCTCATTTCACTTGTAGAAGTTGGACAATTCTGGCCTGTCAGCTTTAGAAATGAATCCACTGAGGGAAAAGGTGAACTTTCCTCATTTCTTAGAGAAAACAAAAGAGAGCATCTGCATTCTATTTTTCTCACCTGTGGACTCATTTCTCCAGGGCAGGCCTGCCAGGGCAGGTTATCTGCTCTCAGTCCTTGTCAACAGACAAAATAAACAGTAAGTTTGACTTCAGAACAAGTACAAGCCACAGCTGATTTCTCAAGTTATCCCTAGGAGACTCATGATGGCACTCCAACTGATTCTCCAGTGTGGATCTCAGGAAAACAATAAGCACCTGTAAATCAGGAAATGGTCCCCTCTTCCATAGGTCACATAGGCCATAGTCTTACATAGGAAGAGATATTTTATCCAATGAGAAACGTCCTTGAACCACAGCATCTAAGTTGGTAGCAGAATGCAGGCTGCATTTTCCCCTCTCCAAGGTAATGTGCTGTTCCCTGGGAAAGAAAGGGTAGAATCTGGGACAACAGCAGAGGATAAAGCTCAAGCTCCTTATTAAAGATGCTACACTTACTCCCCTGTGTTGTGCCATATCACCCTCCAGCTTCTCTGCAAGTTTCACTGTGTCTCTTTGTTCCACACTCTAGGAAGTACAGGAGTTAAACTACTAGCTATTCCCAGCAACCACATCATTTTGTGACTTGCCTAAAGTTTAATCTTTTCCAGGAGAGGAGCAGCAACAGCATTGATCCCCTTTATAAATCCAATACCTTCTGATTTTAAAGTGATGATACTGATCTTCTTCACCAGCATATTCTCACCTGCACACTGACAGGCTCTTTGTATTTCATAGGCAACCTTTGAACCATCACTTTAATTCATTATGGTACAGTTACCAATCAGAGCTCTGTGAGGACCAACCTTCCCAGTCATATATAAACGTTACTGTTTGAATGTGAGATTTCTGTGCAACTAGACATGCTGGGTTTGTCTTGCCAGGCTCACGGTGTACAGCTGGTGCTGTCCTTCATTTTAATTATTCAGTCAAGCTGAATATCATCCCACATTACACAATATATTATTTTCTGGTGAAATATGTTTCTATATAAATGTATGCATGTATATATGCAGTTATGTCGCAATGAGCACATTCATTGAGATGCAGAAATCCATGGAGAATGATATGTAGTTTCTCCTTACTTGTTTACTCCCACAGAAAACCTTGATGCCTCAGTCTGAGATTGCATGATGCTGTGACCCAGGAAACTCATCCAAATGGTTTCTGTGGGTGGCAAGCACTAAAGCACATGATGCTTCAGCTGCTACCTTTTGTGGATTGTTTTGCTCAGAAGCAGAAATCAGAATAACACAGAAGACTCTTCAACACAAGTACTTAAATACAGGAATTTAATATTCCGACCAGGATTTTAACAATAGGCCAAAATTCATCCCACCACTACTAAATTTTTTTCTCTATGCAAAATAGAAATGCATATTATAATATTCACTGTGATCACCTCACAATCAATGACTCACCTAAATGTATCTTTTGAGTCTAACTGAAACCCTGTGTCCTGTAATCAACATTTTGCAATTCCAAACTGCTGCCCTATGCTACTCTATACTATATAACAACCTCTGGAATCAATGTGTGTGTGTGTGTGTGTGTGTGTATGTGTTTTAATTATGTCTTTACTAAATGAACAAAATAGCCATTTTAGGATGGCTGAGTGAATTCTCACAGCTTTGCCATTTCATATTATTGAAAGCAAAATCATTACTGCATATAACTTTTTACGTTAGTGCTGGATCTTCAAAGAGATCTACCAGACAAAATAATTTCAGAGATCGGAGTTGGAAATGAAATTACTTGAAACGTCTTAAGTGAATAGACATCATTAATCGCATTGGAAGGAGAGACTGGGATGGAAAATTTAAGAAAGGTTAACAGAGTTTAAACTGCTCAGTCAACAATGGAAAGCATTGATTTGTGTCTGGTTTTTGTTTTTGTTTAACTGTTCTGTCCATAACACATGCAACAGTATCTGACACATAGTAGGATGCAAGGATTTTGTGGCTAATTATTTAATGAACATACTGTGGCTTGGGAGTAGTGAAAACTTATTGCAAAGCATTATACACTAATCTCTGCCTAAGGAATTTGCATGTATTTTAGTCTTTGCCTAAGCAATTTGCCCATACTTTTCTTTCTTGGTTTTCAGAACATATCCACTCCCGTAAGATGTTTCTCTGGATATTTTGCAACATGGCAGGGAAATGGAAACATATATGGTCATGCACTGAAGCAAAACATGTGCAGTCATCCTGCCATATAATAGTATGCTCCAGGGAGAAGAATTCAATCCCGAAGATGGCCATCGCTAAGTCCAAGAATGGTACTCCACAATAAATGATCACACAATATTAAGTTCTACCTCTATGACATGTCAGCAAAGGACAGTCACCCTCTAGAATAAGGATCCATCACATAAGCTGCCTGGGATATTCCCAAATTGAATTCCAAATGTACTCTTACATTACTGTACATAATACAGTAGATTCATTTTTGGGTATATACTCTAGGGTATTATAAAACTGATCTTATATTTACTGGAATATTATTCACAACATTAGAAGGCGAACTCCAGTCTTTGAAGCTGAATGAATAAGAAAATATTCTATATCAACACAATAGGAAATTGTCAAGCTTTAAAGAAAGGGAAGTTTTGTCGTGGCCACATGCTGGAACTAGGAAATGCTATAGTAGTTGTGATAAATCAAACACAGAAAGAAATATACTGTGAATTCAACTGATATATAAAAGAGGATGAGGCAATGATCAAAACACACACATACAAAATTCAAAATTAAAAGCAAAATCAAAATAAAGAATCCAGGGTGTTGGGGAAACCAAAATTTTCCATTAAAACAGGAATATGTAAAATTGCAAGATTTGCACAGTGAGACCTGATTTGGTATGTATAAAATATGAGGAGGGGCCCAGGGCCATAGCCTGATGGCTAAATTCCTCCAGTTGCATACGTCAGGATCCCACATGCCCTGTTTCCCATCCAGCTCCCTGCTTGTGGCCTAGGAAAGCGATTGAGAACAGACCAAACTTTTAGGACCCTGAACCTGCATCAGAAACCAGGAAGAATTATCTGACTCCAGGCTTTGGATGAGGTCAGGTCTGGCGGTTGAGGCCAGACATTGGGGAGTAAGTCAACAGATGAAGATCATCCTTTATGACTCTCCACCTCTCTGTATATCTGACTTTTCAATAAAAAAATAAATCTTTAAAAATGCCAAAAAAGGAAGCAAATACAGTAGTAATATAAAATTTTACTAACTTTCTAAAATTCATCTACAAAACATTCTTTTCAGTCACTTGATATTTATTTAATATTATTTATTTTGTATTCTTTACTTCCATTTTAATTACTCTATTTTACCTTTAATTTTATAATGCAATGTCTTGGATTCTGGGATTTCACTTACCAACTCCCCAAACACCCTACCTGCAACGATTTCTCCCACATTATTACAATAGTATAGTACTTCATAAGCTAACATAAGTCTATCATTCTCCTGACTAAGCATATCCTGAAATTATATATATACACAAGGACAGACTGCCAAGCATTCTATTTTCAAAATATATCCAATAGTTTCATTGGGAGTCTATCTTTAATTTGAAAGTAGAGTTGCATACCACAAGAGTTGAATAGATACCTTAACTGTTACATAACACCTTTCATCCTTTTAAACTGATTCTAACATTTTGACTTTGGTTGGTATTAGAATAGCTACACCTGCATAATTCTCCTTCCCTTTGGTGCATAATATTTTATTCCATCTGTCACCTAAAGTCTGTGAGTGCCTTTGTTGTTCAGGTGTGCTTCTTGTGGGCATCAAATACACATGGGAATATTTTTGAATCTGGTCTACCAGTTTCTATCTTTAGATTCAGTAATTGAGTTCATCGACATTTAAGATTATTATTCGTAAGTAATGACTTTTGTTCTACCAGTTTACATAAGTATTTGTACTGTTTACTTTGGATTTATTTTGTTTCCATTAGGAGACTTTCTTCCTCCCCCCTCTTTCTTTTTTTCATTGTGACTATTATTCTCTAGTTCTGTGTATAGCACATTCTTAATCATTGCTTGTTAGTGTCGATGCATGGTGGCAAGTTCCTTCTATTTCTGTTTGTTCACAGTTTCTAATTTCACATTCATTTCCAAGTAAGATTTTCGCTGGATAGAGGGTTACTTCAGGACTTTGGCTATGTCTCTATTCTCTGCCAACTTGTTGGGTTTATGATGACAAACCAGGTTTCAATCTAATGGGGGATCCTCTGAATGCAATATGGCATTTCTGTCACACTCATTTTAGAA